GTCACAACGACGACCGACTCCCTTTTCTTTCCCGCCATCTCTCCTCTCTTCTGCCTGCCTCTTTCTGTGCTCGTCAATCCTGCCGCTGCCAACTCGCTGCTTGTCCTGCTTGGCTAGCTGTCCCGGCTCAATCCCTCTGCGACGGGCATTGTCGACTCCTTGTCTCACACCCCTCCTGTCAAAGCGGCCAGGTCTGTGTTGTGCTCGTGCTTGTGCTTGGTGTCGTTGCGGGTGAACCGTCGCCTACCGCCTCGCTTCTCGCGCCAAAGCATCAGCCGCCATCCACCGCCAGCGCCAAATCCATCAGGCATTGCTCTCCGTCCCCGTCTGCTTCTCTTTCCACTCTGTCCACTCCTGTCGTGGTCTCCAACTGCTACTGGTACTCTGCGACCTCAGCCCTCTCCGTCTGCTTGTCTACCCTGTTATGCGACAGCACTGACTGCCTCTGCAGTCCCTCCTCGCCGTGTCTTCCCCCCTCGATCCTTCTCGGCTCCCGCCTGGTTGTCGCGAACGGAGGGGTGTCGCCAGCCACACGGTCTCCAATCCCACCCGTTTTTCTCCCAACTTCGCGATAACGACTGTGACCCTTCGCCATGTATAACGCACATCGCGGGATGGTTCCTGCTCCCAACTCCCGGTTGAACGAGTTGCTGGAGCAGCTGCGCCAGGAATTCGAGAACCAGTCCCGCAGCACCGGCGAGTTTGAACATCAACGTACGTATCCTTTCTCGTTTTGCTCCTTCTCGCCCCATCATCGCGCCTGCAGTCCTATTCCGGCCGTCTGTCCCTTGCTGCACGTGCTCCATGAGTTTGAAGTTCTTGGAGTGCAGCGCGCTTCTCGTGATGTTTGCGTATAGGATTTTGACTAACGCATCCTGCAGTGACCGGGCAACTTCAAGAGATGGAAATGATCCGGCAGAAGGTCTACCAGCTTGAGCAAGCGCAAATCAAGATGAAGCAAGAGTAGGTTCGCCACCAACAGAGCATCCAGGGATCTTCTTCTAACTGATTTCACCTGCCTACCAGCTATGAGGCCGAAATCCGAGTCTTGCGACATGAGCTCGAGTCGCGTGGCGTGCAAACCGTCCCATCTCACGTTGGAGGCCCGCAGCAGCCGCATGCTGGCCCTTCCCAGGCCCCGCCTGCCCTGGGACACGGGCCTAGCAACCTGTTCGGTGGGATCATGGCCAACCAAGGAGGTAGTGGTCCCGGTCTTGCCCCTCCCCCTCCCCAGGATCAGCAGCCTCCCCAGCATAACCTCCAGCAGCCTGCTCCCGCGGCGCAGCAAGGACCGCCGCAGCCTCCGCAGAGCTCTTATGGAGGGTATCAGCCTGGTGCTGCTGTGAACGGTATGTGCAACTAGGCATTCTTCTCAATCCCTGCCATCTAACATAGTTTTGTTTTGTCTTCCTCCAGGTTATGGACCTCCTCCTCCACCGACGGCCTCGCCGGGACCTGGCAAGGGTCGCGGTCGAGCTCCTCCGGGACCTGCGACCCCACAACAGACTCACCAGCTGGCCTATCCGGACCCTCGGGCATCGCCTCAGATCGCCCGGCCTACGCCTCCCAATCAGGCTCTCGTCCGTGAACGGCCCGGGAATATGCTGGCCAATTGGAACCCGGACGACTTGCCACCTTCGCAGAAGAAGGAAGGTCCGGATTGGTACGCGGTGTTCAACCCGGAAGTGCAGCGAGTCCTGGACGTCGAACTCGTCCACCATCTGGTGCATGACAGTGTCGTCTGCTGCGTGAGATTCAGTCGAGACGGTAAATACGTGGCGACGGGCTGCAACCGATCGGCTCAGATCTTCGACGTGGCCACGGGCCAGAACGTCGCAACTCTCCAGGACGACTCTGTCGACAAAGACGGAGACCTCTATATCCGTAGCGTCTGCTTCAGTCCGGACGGCAAGTACCTTGCCACTGGTGCTGAAGACAAACAGATCAGGGTGAGACTAATTTCCCTTCTCCTTCTGGTTCCCTCCATTCCTTCTTTTTTTTTTTGCCTCCTTTGCTAATTCTCTTCGGGCAGGTTTGGGATATTGCTACTCGAACCATCAAGCATGTCTTTACCGGACATGAACAGGACATCTATTCCCTTGACTATGCTGGAAACGGTCGCTACATTGCCTCTGGTAGTGGGGACAAGACGGTGCGCTTGTGGGATGTCTTGGAGGGCAAGCTCGTATACACCCTCAGCATTGAAGACGGTGTCACCACAGTGGCTATGTCTCCTGACGGTCATTACGTGGCCGCTGGCTCTCTCGACAAGAGTGTCCGGGTCTGGGATACCACGACCGGTTACCTTGTGGAAAGACTGGAGAGCCCCGACGGCCACAAGGACAGCGTGTATTCGGTTGCGTTCGCGCCTAATGGCCGTGACCTGGTCAGCGGCAGTCTTGACAAGACGATCAAGATGTGGGAGCTTACTGCACCAAGAGGCCTCCTGCCTGGAAGCGGCGTCAAAGGGGGCAAATGCGTGCGAACCTTTGAAGGCCACAAGGTAAGTTCGATATCTGGCGGGTTCGGCTCTGTTCGGAGGATATCCTGGTGCTGACTTTGTCAAAAGGATTTCGTGCTCAGTGTCTGCTTGACGCCGGATGGACAGTGGGTCATGAGTGGTTCCAAGGACAGGGGCGTTCAGTTCTGGGACCCGAACACCGGAAATGCCCAAATGATGCTCCAGGGTCACAAGAACTCTGGTAAGTAGACTGGATGTTCTTAGTATTGATTGGAGCGTTTTTCTGACATTGGGATCAGTTATTTCTGTTGCTCCCAGCCCTACCAACAATCTGTTCGCGACTGGTAGTGGCGACATGCGTGCGAGAATTTGGAGGTACGTGACTTGTCAATGATTCAATGATGCCAAAGAATGGCGAAAGGGAACATCCAGGTGTATTCGGGTCACTAACTGGCTTATCTTACCAGGTACTCGACTTATACTGGACGGTGATGTAATTGATACCAGAGGCTCTGGCGCAGGTGTGGTATTTCTTTGGTTCTTGTCTCAATTATGGCTGGTTTTATTTCTCTGGTCTGGGTTGTCATGTCGTTTATATCGGGGGCTTTGCCATTTCATCTCACTGCCATTCACAACAAGGGGAAGCGCGGTTGACAGGAGTGGAGGGATCTCGAGCGACAGAAAACAAAAAAGGAGAAAACAAAAGAGTGGAGTGGGTGGAATATATGATGGGATGAGTGTAGTCATATTTTTCTGATTTATCCCTCTTCGAATATTGCAGTCCCTCTTGTCTGTTTGAAGTCTTTCCAAGTCAGTATGACGTTGTAAGAGTGGTGTTTGTTCGCCTTCAATAAGATTTCTCCGGAAAGTAGGCGAATACAATTGCTTCCGTCGGTGGAATAATCGCTTACGTTTCGGGACAAAGGTCCTTGGGTGGGAAGTCCTTCGGGGTCATCGACTGATAACGGACCTCAATTGATCGTATTGATATAAATTCTAAGTGGGTTCGTTCTCTGCGCACCAGGGGACAGGAAGATGGGATCAGAACGATAATAGTAGAATCGGGTCTAGAGGACTTCTTTTCCCCCCCACCCCCCCCCTTACCTCACCTCTCTTACTTACAGTCAAGAATCTTGAGCATGCTGCAACTGTGTTGGACGAGAATTTGATGACTCAGTCTTGCTTCTATGCTTGCATTTCCAGGACCTTCATTGAAAATAATGTCCTCAGTTGTGGTAGCTTCGTGGATTTCTCTTCGTTTCTGGAGGCCCTTCGGCTTAGCTAAGATACAAGAGGTAGTTAGCGTGCAAGTCACATGGATTATGGGCAAAATCAAGATTGGTCAACTTTGTAGTACTGAATGAATTATCTTAGAATAGTTAATTTAAGGATGATTATTAAAGAATTATGCGTCATACATTAGTTCAACAAATTAATTATGAAAATATATTGTTCGATTAGACTTTTGTATATATGAGTCTTATTGAAATGTCATAGGCATTAAGTTTCGGAGTACGCAGATATATTTTTCTATGATGTATTGTATTGTCCAGTACAAAGTAGCTATTATTATCTAAAGAATTCACCAGTCACAGCATTACAGCTCCCCTCACTCACAGTCTGCAATGCAAAGCAACGCAGGGTAATTGACTGTGTCCCGTACATACTCTTCCCCTTTTTTTATTCCCCTATTTTCTTCTTTTTAGCTGCTTGCTTCGATTCAGCTGGTTCGCCGCAGTGGATTCTGGCTAAATCCCTAATGATGTAACCGAATCTGATCTATCATATTCGCTCTGCCCTTGTGATGACATACCAAAATGGCAACTCTAGACAGAGCAGCGTGCCTATTTGCTGAGTTTTGAAGCCATGACAGTGAAGGATCATGCCATCCCTTCTAATTATGCTTCGTTCTGCATGGTTTCTGCCAGGCCAATACTTACTTACATGCCGAACTCTATTTATTGATTGATTTGTTCTGAATGATTTAACAGGGTACTTACAAGATAGACAGACTATTCATTCCCGAGACACTGCCACACACAAAACCTTTAAGGCTAAACAAGCCCCATCATCGCGGCTGTCATACATCTCGGAAACTGGGTCCATCCACGTCAACGACAGGTCCATGTCGTGGAGAGCACGCTTTTCCCCACGGTCATTTTTCAGCACCACCCATTTTGCATACCCTCAAAAAAAAAATAAAGTAACACCGAACCGGGCAGGCTGGTAGGATCTCGTACTCTGTAGTCACTGTGCCTAGACCTACTCTGCGACGACTAAACTGATTAAGCATGGGATTCGATGAAGTTCAGGGTCTGGAGTAGGGATGTGAATTTACAAATTTACAATGAGTTTCAGGTCTTTTTTTTTCTAACAAATAGTCGAACAAAAAAATATAGTACATGCGCATAGCTGTTTCCATGCGTGACGTTTGCCCCTTTCTAATTGCTTCATTGGCTAATTAGTTTTTTTTTCTCTATTGATGAGTGCCTTTTGTTGGATATGCAGACATCTTGATAGTGTCATCCAGTTGGCTTTACAGAGAGCTATGATGACCTGGTCAGTGATGCAAAACAGTAGCATCAAAGATCAGGTAAGAGAGTTAAACTTGTTATTCTCGTCAATTTTAAACCCATGTCACAGACATTGTACCAGAACAGGAGAACGGGATATGGAGCAGTACAGGAAATAACTCGGCGCTGGAATCCGTCGTCCTGCATGATAGTGAATACTTCCCTTGATTCTCGATACGCGTTTGTACACGTCTCTTATAGATGGTTGCATCCCTTACGCAATGCTTTTACGTCTAACAGCTCAAGTTCCACCGCTGGATCATGGAAGAAGTCATGTCGAGGGGCTCGATATAAGAGCGGGTAGACATGTGGGAATGCTGCAGGAAACGGCGTATTCAAAGCTCTGTATTTTAGCGGCTGATCCAAGTAGTCATAGCTGTAACTGTAAAGTAAATCACAGACTTTCCGGGGACTCTAAACCAACACGTGGACTCTTTGTAAAATACGGCTCCCGATGTAACAGACGCCAAAAAGGCGTCCATGTCCCTGACTTTCTGAACTGAATAATACCCAACTACTCCGTAGGTAACCCTAACTTACCGCCACTCACACGTGATCCGGTTGGTAGCGCCACAAGTATCTCGACCTGAGTCGGGGAAGAAGTCGCTGATTGGCCTGCTCCTGACTTGAGTCGAGACTCGAGAGACCGGGCGACTTGACAACTTCCTCTTCTCCATCAGACCTGGACGTACCATCGGTATGAGTCTTGAGATACGAGCCGTTAGGGCCGTCACGCCGCTAACCACAAGTGGACTAGCCACCGGGACGGGGAACGGAAGCGCCGGTCTGGCTTGCTTACTTAATGTACGGTTACCTGGCAGTCCTGAACTTCCGATTTGGGAAAGATTATTTGGTTTTGTCCAATTAAAAATTTCTGAAAATAAATCCTTTTTTGTAATTGCTGAAAAGGGCCTTTTCACGAGACCGAAATTGCATTATGCATCCCTAGGCACTTGGACAGCAGTTGTCTGCTCTCTAGCGTACAGGCTGGCTGCAGGTGTCACACCCCCGATGCTGACGGATATCACGAGGTTGGCACCGGTTAACTGTCACGGAGAAGGATATCCAGTTTGTCTGCCAAAATGGAGCTAATCCCACACGAATGTGATGCATCGCATGCAATGATTCCTCGGAAACGCCTGGGTCAATCCGGTGAAGGAATCTGCATGACTGCCGTGAGAAAACGTGGCTGACATTGATGCAAGAAATAGGGATATCCTGGCGACTCCAGCACAGGGGCCCTGTGCAGACTTGATCAAATGCGACCCCGATTGGTCCTATTTCCCCTACGTCGGCATATATTGGGATCAGTAGTCTACTGTAGAGACAGCTTCGTATTAACAATAATATACCCCTGTCAAGATCTTTCCCAAAATACAGCGCAGGATGTGAAGCCTTGGAGCAGGAAGATAGCAAGATCCCCGCAGCGTCAGGAGGAACCCTTCTGGCAATACTCCGTACTCCGTCCAGGACTCCAGACTCTTTGACAGCAGCTGACTGGGTGGAGACAGCGTGGGATTGATTCATGGACTCAGGTCCAATCAGTAAATGTCAAGTCGAGACTCGAGAAGAATCCCGATGGTTGAAGACTCACGGCTAGCGCTGAAGATCACAGAGCATCGCAGCGTCGGCAACATGGCCCGGGCCAGTCTGCACTACCTGCAGGCCGAAGTCGTCTTTGCTCTTTGTTTTTCTGGGGCCATCGGCGGTTAAGTGGTAAATCGGTACTTCCTGAACACCCTGCCATTGTTATTGCCATCATTATACTCTCGTCCATGCCAGCTGATTGACTTTTCCCAACTTACAGTCAGTAACCGATCTGCCAGATCTTAGACTACCTCGCTAGCCTCGTCGTGCGCCGCGGTTAAAGCAAGTGGAACATCCTCCTGCACAGTCGAATCCAAAGAGCTAATTAATTAGGCGCATCGAACCACCTTTGCAAACTACAGAACGATGGGATCGCGGTGTTCGAATGGGTCTCGCGGGGAAACTGTGGCACTGTTGCGATGTGAAGACTCCTCAAGCCATGCGGCATCACCCTCGCTTCGATTGTTGCACAGCATCGTGGCTGAGGAGACTGGATAACTGCACGGGGTCGACCTAAATGCGGCCGCCTGATCGTCGGAGGATGAGCCACGATAGATTCATTACTCCCCTAGAGCAGTCCAGGGATGATCGTGGAAATTACAAGATCTTCTACACGAGAACGCAGCCTTGACGACTGTTCAGTTTCTCTAAGGTCGCCAAACGACTTCAGATCCCCGTCAGGATCCCAATTCTGACATTAAGACCAACGCAGTGTGTTCTGCATCCTAATCAGTCCGGTTGGCCCGATTGTGGATAGGAGACGGGGCGAGGACCTGTGGTAGGAGTGTGTCGTCCCTGCTTTCCCATGCGGCATGCATCGTCGCATCATTTTTCTCACGTCCCTAGTTCCCTACACTACCCCAGCTAATCTGACCGCCCCGTCGAGCCGTCGTCGGCCGGCGGCGGATCAGTGCGCCTTGACGCCTCCAGCAGCCTAGCCCGACAATAGTGGCCCAGATCCCTGTCACCCTCCGCCTATGGCTTCAAGCGTCAGCCGCTCCGCGAGGCTCGCAAGTCATGGGCTCGTCGCTGGACAATGACAGGAAATCTGACTGGTGTTCCTCTCGGGCGATGATCGCTAACTGCGGTCCGTCCCATCCCATGGCCCAGACCTTAAAACTCCTCCGCAAAGGCCACCCACGGCCATGGACTCATGGCAGCCAACAGCAATAATGCACCACCAGATCCGTGGAGATCCTCAGAACCCCCGTCTCCACTCGTCATGCGGGAAGAGCTGCAACCTCAAATCTCGGCCTCGTGATCGGGTGTCAGGTGAAGACGATGATCTCGACGGATGTCCTTGAAACCGACCCCTGATGCACGGTATACATACATACATACGTACGTACGCCCGGCAGAAGGCGTGATGCATCGTCTGAAAACAATATTCCATCTCGTCGTCTGATGCTCTCCTGTATGCACTTGGGCTCCGCGTGCCGTATTGATTTGACTGCCTTTTGATTGGCTGCGATGCGGTTTCTTAATTATTTATTATTCCCTCATGGCGGTTCTGAGTTATCAACCTCATTCGGTGACGCTGATTATTATATACGATTGACCGCAGATGCCGCTCATGCGGCCTTGGCTTGTGGTGCTAGATGGAGCCCGTTCACCATACTAACTAACTATCGCGAATGCTCAGCCTCTGCGTTGCTTCTCGCTCGCCTTATCCTATGTCTTCTACAACGAATCGACAACAAACACTCGTAATGGCGAAGTCTAGTTCTAAGCCTTAGCAGTCTACACATCACAAGTGTTGCGTCCCTTGATGCGCGAATCTTTGTGATGATTCGCAGTGATCCATTCAATATGACCAAGTGCCGCGACCTCGGTGATAAGAAACCCCCGATCTGTCCACTAGATCCTGTGGGGGGAGACCAGAGCACCCTGTTCGAAACTGCTGGGACGAACCCCCACTGCGCGCCCGTCTCTCTTTACCGGACTCCAGCTCGTCCACCGACTAGTACGGAGTTCGCCGCATATGTACTGTACAGAGGAGCCCTAAGGACGGGGTTACTCAGCTTCCTGATTCGGATATCTCGGTGGGCGACACATTCTGATTCCTGACAGGCTGCTTGGAGAAGGCGAGGTCTCAGCCTGGCAGCAGGCATTTCCACGAATGAACCTGGACCCTGGTCCCCATGGCACGCCCAAACGACTGGTCACCTCGGAACGGAACTGTGACTGTGCTTCCGCGGCTGACCTTGCCCGGCGCCTGGTACAGGGCTCCATTCATCTTGTCTTGTGGATGTATGCCACCGTCCGGCATCTCGAGAGGCTTGTCCGCACGCTAGACCGTCTCCAGAGGACACGGGCTTCGGCTGTCAGCTAGTCATTTCGGGATCGCCCCGTCTCCTGCTTCGGATGGTCATAAGAGTAACTTACTATCGATCTTATCCCACCGAATGGCCAACCTGGATGCAGCCCCCAACTCGGGATCCGGGACCGGGGACCCTATCCCTAGTCTTGGGATGAACCAGATCGGGGTTCTTCTTGCTCGCCACACGCATTGGTCCCCACGCTAATTAACGATGTATATCTAGTTCTAGATCGCCGTGTATAGTTGAATGACTACATGCCATGGCATGGGCTGCCAACGCTTGTTTTGGTGTCCTCTCGATGTGTCTTCTGTCCGATTCTCTATATTCTCTGCATATAACTCCTCCAAACGCTCCAACACGCGCCAGCTCTCCAGTGTTTCTTCTCGACAGTGCTTTTTTTTTTCAACCATTATCGGAGCCCAAACCGTAAAACCCCTGTGTCTCTGGCCTGACACGCCAACATCATCTCCTTTCTTTGGATCGTAGTACCGGTTGCGTGTGTCTTCCAACCGCTCTCGTCTCAAATCACAGGGTCCTGCGTCGCAATGGAAGCACCAGTGCCGGTTTCCTATGGATATCCCGGTCATGAGCTGAGAGCAGTTGAGCCCCGTCGCCTCATTACTCCTCATGTGGACCACAGCTTCTCATTCTATTCCAATACCCCAGTAACATTCGCTCCACCGCTTCCATCGCCGTCTTACGATGTCAGCCATGTCCTGAACGTTCATTCGAGCCCCTACCAACCCTTCTTTGGAGGATCATCCGGGAGCCAGATCAATCCACAGCCTTCGCGACTCTCTTCGGAACCCCCTCTGCTTACACCTCCTCCCGATATCTGCCAACCGAAGGACGGGTTTTCCGGAATGTTCAGGGACTCCCAAGCAAAGATGATAGATAGTCATCGTTCCGACAACCAAACCAACCGCTTGATCACTGAACCGCCGTCTGATTTGATCAAGAAGGAGCATTCTTCTTCTTCTAACGCTGCTGGGGTGGAGTTCAACACGGAAGTTGACATTTTGATGAAGACAATTCAGTCTCGATCCAGGCCTCCATCGCAACAACTTCCTCCTCTCCAACAATTTGCGCACGGACAGAGCAGCTATCACCTTCCTCCGACGACATACTTGGGCCCTTCTCAGCCAGGACGCGTCTTTCTGACCAGTCAAGACCGAACTCAGAATCCAGGGCAGAAGTCGAAACGAAAGTATCAATGCCCTCTGCCTCACTGTGGCAAGTACTTTACCCAAAAGACACACCTTGACATCCATATGCGAGCCCACACAGGCGATAAGCCATTTGTAAGTACACTTTTTTTTGCCCGTCCTGCAGCAGGAAATGGATGCTGAACATTATACATACAGATCTGCAAAGAGCCATCCTGTGGTCAACGCTTCTCACAGCTTGGGAACTTAAAGGTAACCTTGTATCAGCTATTAGTTCATCAGATACATGCAATAGCTAACATCTCCCTCGTGAAACATTAGACCCATGAACGTCGTCATACCGGCGAGAAGCCTTATTCCTGCGACATCTGCCACAAGAGATTCGCCCAGCGTGGCAACGTTCGAGCTCATAAGATAACGCATGAGCAAGCCAAGCCATTTACCTGTCTCCTAGATAACTGCTGGAAGCAATTCACCCAACTGGGCAATCTCAAGGTTAGTTTGCCATTTTCGCCATTCCCTCACCAATTCATGTCCCCTAGTATATAGCATTGGAAGCGAAATTCCTTTCTAACATCTGAGGGCGCATGTACAGTCTCACCAGAACAAGTTCCATTCAACAACTCTGCGAAACTTGACAATCAAATTCTCCTCGCTGCGCGAATGGGAGATGATGACGCCAGAGGATCGACATCTGTGGGTGTACTTTGCCGAGCTGTACAAGAACAGCAACAAGGGGATCAAGGGGAGAGGGAAGGACCGAAAGATTTCATGCACTGCCGCCAGATCACCTCCACCGCCGCCATCATCGTCGTCATCGTCGTCATCATCATCTACTCTTGGGAATCCCGAAGCAGATGCATCAACAACGAAAGGTCCACCGCTACTACCACCACCTCCTCCTTCAGGGAGTGATGATAGTAGTGACGACGAAGAAGAACAAGAAGATCACAGTCAATTATATATGAAAAGGGAACAGTAGAAGCAATAATAAAAGAAAGGTTTTAGGACTAGGCCTAGGAAAAGAGAAGAGTCATCAATGTATTTGGTAATTTCAAACGACTACCTAAGTATGTACATGGTGTTATGTACGTTGTGTTGTACTGTACATACGCTATGTATGTTAATGTATACGTTAACAGAAATCCCCATGCCATGTATTCGGGATGACGATGATGTCTTTCTTTCTCGTCCAGATATTATCAGTGTCAACAAATGAAGATTTCATTCATTTAAGTGGGGTTTGAAAGAGAAGAACATAAACGGTCCTGTACATTACATACTCCGTACTGCTGGTGGTGGTGGTGGTGGTGGTGGTGAAACTTCAGCCCTGTATCAATTTTGCGCGAGGGAGCGCGCATGTATAGTTTTTATGATCTGACATCTTTATAAATATAAATATGTAATATCTTACAGCCAACGATCGTACTCATGAGTACAGGACATGCATACCTAGGTATGCTATTCAGGGCAAAAGACAAGAAAAGAGGAAAGGAAGGAAGGAAGGTGAATTGCCAAATTCATTTCAAAACATGTAAATGGAGGCGAATAAGATGATCAATCTGTTTTGGAAAAAAAAAAAGAGAGAGAGAACTAATTAATAATAGAGAAGCTCCTAGGTTGACAAGACTGTATAAAGCTGAATACGATGGATAACTAGTCAAAGAAGATCAGGATGATGGGAAGTCTAGACTGACTGATTTATATAACCTAAGCTGAAATCTTAGACATTTCCCATTCCTCTAGTTGTATGTGATAAGTGCTAGTTTCACAGATGAAATAAATCTCTCTCTCTGTTCATAGAAGCCGACGCACTCCTTAGCGATAGCACTTTTCATAGTTCATCTTTCCTTATTATGTGAAAGCGTATTTGCGCATATCATGTATATATCTCATGACTAGAATTTTATTCCTGGATTATACCGACCTCTCTATTCATCATATCCTATTATAGGAGCAGGGAGTATGAATCCCGAAAATTAACTAGACAGATAAACTGGTAGAGTTGTCCTAGGTTATATACTCGACCGCTGAGAGTGAATAGACGATTTTGCTCTCCTATTCTGTCAGTATATCATACCGACCCGCAGAGCATATCGCCTGCGCTTGTGTGGATGTATCTGTTGAATCAAGTGCATGTCATCCAAACTAGATGGCGAGGAAGGAGAAGTCCCTAACCATCGCCGACACTCAGCTTGGGTAAATACCTCCTTGTATTCTCATATACAAGGAACGTGACCCACGTGTTGGGAAGGACTCTGAGGAGATTTGGTCCCAGACCTTTGTAAAAGCCACCTACACCTTCGTTGTGCCAAATCTTCCGTGTTGCATCCCACACTCCTCGATACACAAGGGCCGCATCATACGCCTGAAGTCGAGTCCTTAAGACCTGATACGGGTAGGTGATACAACCAGCGAAAACCTTCGAAAGACTGGATATGATGAGAAGATCTAGGTTGCCAAGTTCACGATCTGCTCCTCCCCCCGGTGTGGCTGATGCCGGGGCGTTCCTTGCCCAGGTTGATTTAGATCGGTACGCCTTTAATTGCTCATAAGCCATGAATTGGAAGGCACCATGGCTGACGCCGAATAGAGCGGGTACAAGACCGCGGTAGAAGCCAGCCACGCCTTCCGATGTCAAGATTTGCCGGGCTCCAGATACAAAGGAAGGGTATGCACCAGGTGTGCGAGAGCCCGTAGATAGCATGCGAGTCTTGATAACCCATATTGGATTTGTAAGGATAGCCGTAAGGAGGCCTGTGGAGCCCAACATTTCAGTCACTGTTGCTCGTGAACATGTAGGTCACACAATACATACCAGCCGCCCCTGAGGCCAGGAAGTATTCCGATGCGCCTAGCCCATCCTTGTCGAATGTCCGTGTATTTCGTATTGTGTCTTTAATCTTGCCATAAAATAGGAAGTACACCGCCCAGCTAGTCGAGTTGCCCACAAGATTCGGGGTCAAACCCCGGTAGAAAGCAGTAATTCCACCTTCAGTTCGATATATTTCTCGAATCACCCGAAACGAACTGCCCAACCGAGACGGGGAAACTCGATCAACTGGAACAGAAGTAGGTCAGCAAGTTTGAACTACGTAAGGCAGCAAAAAAAGAAGGACAATGGCGATCATACCTTGCAGGCGAGTCTTGATTAGATCAAGCGGATGCAGACAGAGGGTTGAAATGACCCCTGCCGTGAACCCGGCTACGGTCTCAACCAAAGATGTCGAAGGGACATTCTTGTCAGTCATTGACTGTGACTCTTCCCTCTCAATGGCGAAAGGGATGTTTCGTGCCGGGGAAAGTTCAGTTTCATAATAAAAACGCGACGTCCCGCAAAGTTAGCGTCTCTAGCTCCGAGATGTCCGAAGTGACCGCATTTATCTACGGAATACAAAGGAGATATTACAAACACGTATTTGAGGGAATTTTGCAGAGCACTAGTCTCTCAAAATCTTAATATTGGGCGTTTTATTCCTTTGTGAGGAACAGCATCTCTAAAATATGGATCCAATGCACCATCATCCCAAACGTTAAGTTGATGTAGCGTACAAGTCTGGAGAAACGACTAGGTTATCAGGACAAGGAAGTAATGGTCACTTCTTCAATGTAACGACTTGATGAACCAGATTCTAATGTACACGATAAGTATCCGTGTTCCCAAGATCCAAAAGACCTGCTGGGAATCTAGTCTAACCCGCAGGACAATGCCACCAAAAAGACAGTATGATCATCGTCCTTATTGAATCATCCATTTCTCAAATGACTCTAATAACTGCTTTCATTCCGTCGAAATCGTTTAGGCAAGGGGCGAGAAAAGCCTACGGAGCTGGTTAGCCAAGGTGATGGAAGTGGGTGCAGTCGCAGCAAGTACTTGAAAAGTGTTGGCTTCGGTTCGCTATACGTATAACCTGCGCAGACATTAGTCTACAGGATAACAAACTATTAGTTACTTCTTTGATGATGGCATACCAAGATACACAATCAAAGGAAGATATCCGCTGCAAAGGAGCGATTAGACAAGCTAGATCGCGGAGTTCAGTCACATCACTCACTAATGAATGGCAACCCTTGAAATGTCGATGATCTTGGAAATGCGCTCCTGCACATAGAAGAAGAAATCAGAGAGATTTGCACAGTGAGTTGTCAGGATTCAACAAACCTTGGTTTCCTCCGACAACTGAACCATCTTGACGGAGCTGCGAGGAAAAAAAGATTCCAGCTTTAAAAGTTAAAGAAAGCGAACCTCTAAACGATTAATCTGAGAAAGAAACAGTGAAATCATTAAATGCAGGAAAGCGACCGCCCAAGAGTTCTCCGCTGTGGCAAGGAGAATTAGAAGTTGAGAGTGAAGCATGTGTCAAATCCTTTTTCGGAGTTGGTTGGCTCCCGCAGCCTAACTCTACTACTGTCTTTTTCCGAAAGCTACCTACAACCATTATCCAGCACACAATCTACACCATCGCGAAATCAGGAATTATTTGTCAGCTATCACCACTTAAGAATAGAACATCTGAGGTATTTCCAAAGTGTGCAACATTGATAATATTCATTTTTGTTCACAGTGTTCTCATTGACCCTATTGCGTCATGTCTGGCGCCAGGCACTGGTATGCATTATGTTCTGAGTTCGTGAACAAGGACAACTGCTAACAGTCACCAAAAGGGAACAGGACAAAGAGGCTACAGTGTACATAGGGAACCTCGATGAACGGGTTACAGACAGCCTGGTATGGGAATTGATGCTGCAGGCAGGACGCATCGTTAATGTTCATTTGCCCAAAGATCGAGTTACCCAGACGCACCAAGGCTATGGATTCGTCGAGTTTGTTAGTGAGGAAGATGCGGAATATGCTGCAAGGATCATGAACCAAGTGCGCCTTTATGGTAAACCAATCCGTGTAAACAAGGCCTCTGCGGATAAACAAAAGGCTGTCGAAGTCGGTGCAGAGCTTTTCGTTGGAAATCTTGATCCCATGGTCACTGAACAAATGCTTTATGAAACCTTCAGCAGATTTGGAACGCTGCTCTCCATCCCGAAGGTGCGTCCAGATGAAGTTATACCTATGTCTTAATTGTCTCTAACTAGTTCACAGATCGCAAGAGATGAGTCAAACTTATCGAAAGGTTATGGCTTTGTGTCATTCGCAGATTTCGAGTCTTCGGATGCTGCAATAGCGAATATGAACGGACAATACCTCATGAACAAGGAGATTTCTGTACAGTATGCGTACAAGAAGGACGGCAAAGGTGAAAGGCATGGAGATCAAGCGGAACGAATGCTGGCCGCCCAGGCTCGCAAGCACAATGTCCAGCCACAGGCACAACCGTTGCCTCCACAGTTTGTGAACTCTGGTGCTGCAATGATGCCAGGGAACGTGGTCAATAACGATGGTACTCGACCCGCAGGGACTTCCGGACCACCGGATTTTGGTGCAGGAAGGGGCACGGCACCTGCGCCAACTTCGCAGCAACAGCGCCCAGCTCCTCCTCCCCAACCACTTGCAGCACCTCCGCCAGGTCTACCAGCGCGACCTCCTCCATCTCAGGCTGGATACGGAGGTCCCCAAGGATTTCTACCGCCTGGTTTTGGCAACACTGGCCAGCAGCAAAACTTTTCTCAAGCTCCACCGCCACCGGGATTCGGTCCTCCCGCTGGCTTTGGGAATCAGATGAACTCCTCAGCACCTCCGCCACCATTGCCTCCCGGTTTTCAACAGCAAGGATATGGCAGAGGCCGTTGAGAACAGGGTGAACTAAGTTGAATCAACTGGTTGGAAACAAGCTACCATTGCGAATTACATGTCGATGCCTTGAATAGAAGAGCTCAGTGCTGAGGCACCAGGCGCAGTTACGATACTGCATAGAAGGGCTCCTCGCTTGGGAAATAAGATGGCAGAATGGAAAGACAGCGGTTCGTTACATGGGAAAGCGGGACTCAAAATCGCGACAAGCGAATTACTGTAAAAAAAATAAGGTTGGCAAGTAACAGACACCAAGCTGACTCACTGAACTGCTACTGTCGTATCCCGGTATATAATAAACCCACAAAGGAAATCCAGATTTTAGTGAGCTGATACCAAATGAATGACAGACAATCAATAACCATAAAGAACATCAACAAGCATCAGTTGTTGAAACTTACATAGGATCGCAAATTCCCATTCTGATGCCACTGTTCTTATGAAGAATCGCCTGGAAGGAAATCAATAGAGAGTGACTGAAGGAGCTAGTCAGGAAAATGAAACAAACTTGGGATCTCTTGGTCGACCGTCTGGACCTATATTGTTTTTTGCGAACCGCTGTTCTGTATATAAGCGGCGGGCCTCATCGAAGTTAACCCCTCGACTTCTCATGATTTTTCGAATTTCCCGTTTTCCTTTCTGATCCAGCCCTGCTCTCGAATCACCTTCGGCCACATTGGCGGCTAGATCAAAGTCGGATGAAGTAAAGCCAGCTTCGATATCACCAGTAAAACTCGAAGGCAGGCGATCATAGACATAGTCAGGGACGGGAATGAGCGGAATCCATCGGGACCTGGTGAGGTAGAGTACTTAAGAGATACGATTAGTTTCCAGAGTTAACTCATCAGTATAAGACGGTAACATATCATACCAGTACCGCAGACCAGGACAATAAAAGTAAGAGAGTAGAGAAGGTAGCTCATGATCTGAACTTGATGCGCTTCGGTCCTTAAAAGAGAAGGAATAGTGACGGTCCCTTAGGCGCCGGATTATCAATACACGGCTGAATCCGAGCAGTTTTATTCCCAGAATAACTCATTTCATTCTAGGGAAACGCGGAGAGAATAATCAAAGCTGATCAACCGGATGTCTGCCACGACAAAGCGGCAGTGAGCCCAAGAGCCCAAGGCAGGCTGAGCAGTGACGCAGGGTGTCATGCCAGCGTTAAAGCCCAGAAATATTAGGCATAAACAGGCTTGCGCTAGGCATCTTATTTAGGGCGGAATTTTAGTTGGCCCCACAGCCAGAATCCGATTGCAGATACGAATACATCATACACTGCAGCCGAATCGGGCTAGTCCTAAAGCAGATTACTTAGCGAGTGTCCACAGAGCTGCCAGCGCCGGCTGTTCTGGGTACTTGCGCACACAATTATCCCGAACGACGTGTGAGGATACTGTCGTATAAGGACAGTTCTTCTTCATTATTATTATCCAATCTTTGTCGTCGCAGCAGGAGAAAGCATCTTCAAAATGGCCTCCGAAAGACCTAATGTTTCCAGTGATCTGATCTGGGAGATTACCCGTATGTGGAAACCATCAAAAGAAAAAGGATTATATTCACCTAACGCCGTGGATAACTGGCTCTGCGCCGTTTATCCCAGCCATTAGAAAAATGCTGACTAGAATTTGATCTTCACAGGTTCACAGAACGCCTTCCTGGTCAAGCGCAAGACGAATGGCAGCCCTCAATTCTCCCGTGATCCTCTGAATCTGGTCAACCAGCATTCCCGTAAGGTAATAAACCAAAAAAAGTCTCGAATGACATGCATTACTTCAAATGACTGATATACTGTACTTCGATAGTACGCTGGTTTTGTCAACAACAAGGTATGAGTGTCAGATATAATATAAATAGTTCTCTCGGCTTTTTTTAACTGGGCTTTTTGCACTGTAGGCTATCGGTTTGCAGCCCACGGATAAGGGCGGCGTCGTTCTGCTCTCCAAGACTTCCGGCAACGCGCAGCGTCCTGCACAGAATGTTCAGACTGTGACATGGGGTCCCAATGCCTCCAACCGAAAGTAAGCACGGATTGCCCAGTTAGGGGGTTGAAGAATAAACAGTGAAGAGAGTACGAGAGAATACGTCTGCAATTTGGTGCTAACCATGAGGGAACTCTGCAGGATCTACAAGAGCGTTGCCAACAAAACGGCCAAAACTGGATACCGCGCAGACCTCCGTGAAGCGGCTGTTGCTCGTGCCAGTGCCATTCGCCAGTCGCAACGCCCGAAGAAGAATGCCCCCGAACCGAAGCTGAGGGGCGCAAAGGCTAGACAGGCCGCCCAGAAGGCATCGTCGTGAAATTTTTGACGGGCATGTTTCAAAGATAGATTCCCGATGTTACCTACCATGAGTGCTTTGGAACTTCCTACGATACCTTTGAAACATTAGTGTGGAGAGGCGTCTGGCTGGTCTCTACCCTCTTGATAGAGGAACATGCTTTTTGGTGGTTACAGATGCCGATGTTTAAAACAAAAAGAGAAAAAAGAACAGAAAATCCAGGATCTTTCCAGAAAAAAAGGCAATGAGAACAACCTTCCAAGGCAGGTGGCAATAGAGCGAGCGTTACACAGATGTTACGGTTAGCCATTTGTGGATGGAATAATGTATACATTTGACCCATACTTCACCATTTCGAGGATGTCGTCGCCTATGTCCTTCGAACGCTTGGCATATGGTTAGGTGTCCGCCCCGATAATAATGGACCAAACGAAGATATTTAGGAGAAGACTCTCTAGCTTGACTCTCTAGCTTCCGTCATGCTCTTTGCTGCACCCGCCTTTTCCCGATACTAGGTACCTAATCTCTCGAAAGTAATTGGAATTCCGGAAGGAAGATTACAGGGACGAGAATTATTATCAGGGTCCAGCCACTAAGATCATACGTTGTCAAGTCACTACAATTCCTTTGTTTGAATGTAGCCTTACTCCGTCGGGCCGTCGGCAAGGCACGGTCCCGCCTTCCAAACGTCGCGTCATGCCGCTGGCCCGCTGCTGTTCCGAACTAAACCCCTCAACCCCACATCTTTCAGATCGCTCCCACCCCTCTTTGATTAACTCCCTCTCCCGTATTCTGCTCTCGCCCCAGCCTTTGAATACAACACATATCTTTGGTCTTTCCACCCATATCTCGTACCCGCTCGCCTTTCCATTGCTTCGTAGATTCGAATTGTGAGTCTGCACCCTTTGTATATCATCCATAAAGCTCTACTCCTAGCATCGCTGGAGGTCGACATACGTTCCTCCTGCAGTTCTCACCTTGTTGGATCAAGTATTAACTTGAATGGACAAGCCAGCACACCAGTAGCCGCTTTTCCCCTTCTTAACCATGGTGAAAGCAGGTGTGTTGATAGATCCCATGTCTTTGGACTCAATGTCGGCTAGTTCTCACTAACATGTTTGGATAGTTGTTCTCGGAGCTTCAGGTGGCATTGGCCAGGTATGTTTCTCCCTATACTAAACTGCCTTCTGTATATTGCTTTAAATGAGGCTTTCTGACAGTCTTCCCGTGTTTTAGCCTCTTTCGCTTCTCCTGAAAGCCAGCCCTCTCGTTGATGAGCTTGCTCTCTACGATGTCGTCAACACCCCTGGTGTTGCTACTGACCTCTCTCACATCTCTTCGATCGCTGTATGTGCGGCCTTTTCTTTTTAAGGAATGCCTCTGATCATATAGCTCACCATTAAGTAGAAAGTCTCGGGCTACCTGCCAAATGATGACGGTCTGAAAAAGGCACTCACCGGTGCTGATATCGTCATCATTCCTGCCGGCATTCCCCGTTCGTCTCACAAATACCCCCATTCTCGCTCTTCTGTGCTGACGGTATAGTTGAATAGGTAAGCCGGGAATGACTCGCGATGATCTTTTCAAGGTCAACGCTGGAATTGTCCAGAGTTTGGTCAAGGGCATCGCAGAAACCTGCCCGAAGGCCTTCGTCCTCATCATCTCTAACCCGGTCAACTCTACCGTTCCTATCGCTGCTGAAGTTCTCAAGGCCGCTGGTGTGTTTGACCCTAAGCGCCTCTTTGGTGTGACTACATTGGACGTTGTTCGCGCGGAGACTTTTGTCCAGGAATACAGTGGCCAGAAGGATCCATCCCAGGTCAATATCCCGGTTGTGGGTGGACACTCGGGAGACACGATCGTTCCACTCTTCAGCCAAGCGAAGCCTGCTTTGCAAATCCCGGCAGACAAATACGATGCCCTTGTTAACCGTTAGTTACCAAACGAGCAAACCGTTAATCTCTTCGCTAACAATGAACAGGCGTCCAGTTTGGCGGCGATGAGGTTGTCAAGGCCAAGGATGGCGCTGGCTCCGCAACTCTGTCCATGGCATTTGCTGGCTTCAGGTGTGTGTTTTTTTTAAGCCACTTAAGTACAAAGAACTAACTGAGAATGCGCAGATTCGCCGAAAGTGTCATCAAAGCCTTCAAAGGAAGCAAGGGCATTGTCGAACCTACCTTTGTCTATCTGCCAGGTGTCCCCGGCGGCGATGTCATCGCCAAGGCGACAGGAGTTGATTTCTTCTCGGTGCCGGTAGAGCTAGGGGTAATTAAGCCGGATGCCACGGTTGATGCGAGAATTGTTTGCTAACTTAATGGTACAGGTTGGCGGTGCTGAGAACGCCATCAACATCCTCGAAAATGTCACTGAGCAGGAGAAAAAGTTGCTTGAAACAGCAATCAAGGGCCTCAAAGGAAATATTGACAAGGGCGTCGACTTTGTCAAGAACCCTCCGCCAAAGTAAAAAACCATTCCCCTTCTATCTTCCTTTCGGCCTCCCCCAGCCTTTCCGGCAACCATCTTTGCACCAGTATCGTCTTATTGGACCGCCTGTAACTGGAACACCTCGTTCGACCAACGGAACTAGAAGATCCCTGCTAATTCGGCCTTCCGGGAAGATAGGCTCTAATACGTGAGAGAACTTAAGACGTGAACAAAACAGTCGGTTCGATTGAGCTCGTGCACCACATGATAAAGATGCATGTTTTTAAGTTTTCTTAAAAGAGTCATAAGGGATGAGATTACCTCTTCATAGCTGTTTATTGAATACCAATAGGACCGTAAGTTGCTGACTATGAGGCTAGGGCCGAGCCTCGCTATGGTGTAAAGAAAGCATAATGAGTCTTGAAATTGCATTTGTTTGCGCAATTTCTTTGTCATCGTGCCCTGATCATGCATGCTGTATTTTTTTGTCTCTTGACTGAAATCAAGACTTTGCCTGAGTCGCCTTTATTTGAAACGTCGCTCCCGGTAGATCAGATGTCTCCGCTTGGACAGTAGCATTGATGCCCAGGTTTGCCAGAGCTCCACGGATGACACCGCATGGGAACCACAAGAACTACTTGCATCAGACTCTAGAGCGTTGTGAAAATGATCTAGTGGTCTCTCACCGCTTCTGCTCTTGCGACTGCCTCGCTTCTTACCGCCATACTCATCCTTGTGAAAGGTCGAAACGAATTGTCCGTCAACACGTAGACACCCTAAAACAAAAAGAGAGATACATTAGCCTTGTGGACGTTGATTTGACAAAACGCTCTTCGGGCTTCCATATAAGCGAAATCAGAGACACATTGTTCGGCTATCTCTGTCTCACCCTGTGATTTGTTTTCAAATTATCGACTTGCTTTCTAAACAATATTGTCCAGAGGTCTTTGCAAAGGAACTTAATTACGTCGAGGTTATCTGTAAAGCGGGGTCGATCTCGAGAGAACCTTTCACATAGGATTCAATATCAGCCTTTGAACATTTGAATGGAATAGAAAAGCGACACAAACGAAGCTACCCAAATTGTACTCAACAGCCCAGGTTACTTCTCGCTTCTTCCCTACCTTTCTGCAAGTCCCTGTCCCACTCTATACCCTAGCGACTCCAGACGGTAGAACGTCGCTTCCCGTAGCTCCTCTTCCTCCATTTTGTCACCAGGGGTTGAGAGTTCCTCTGCTATCCTTTCGGCCATGGGCACGAGCTCTATCAGGAGTAAATCGAGGCATGACGCACTAAGGAATCTCGCGTGAGGGTCAGATGCATTGTACGGCGGAACAGGCGTATCGAAAGACATTTAAGAAGATGTTGCAAGATGTCTAGGGAGCTAGGATGAAGAATTCCGCATTTCAATGTATTTGTAGCAGGATGGTATTGATGCCTCAAAGTCAGAGCTCTCGGCTTCTTGCCATGTGCAGCGCGGCGCACTGTCCTCTGGGGAACAAGTTGATAGGCATTCCTAGTTCCAAACATGCGATACTCCGTACACTTAGTGTCCTCCGTACGCCAAGTGGGTCGCGAGCCTCATTGCTCCGGTCGCCGCACTTTTGCGTCTCATCTACTAGTCACTCATCTATTTCGACACAGGCATGGATTATATGGTAGGAATAAGTAATGGTAGTCATTAGTTGACCTCGATTGCACTATGTATCTTTCGACGAGATTAATTAAGACCAAGATCCTTAAGAGCTGCAATTCGTCAAATTTCCAGACTAGGAAGAGAGTCATGTCCCATGTCCAATATTATTCTTAGAAATATCCCCATAATGCAAATAGAAGCCGATGTCTGAATATCCACCGAAGATGAATGAAGATGCTAGACAGCCAACTCCGAGTACTCCAGAGACTATGCGACTTAAACGTTGAAGGCCAGAATGAGATCACGTGTCGTAGTAAGGGGGTACCTGCCCAGGAGATTGAGAACTATCGTGGCCAGGAAAGTTGAGACTTGTATTATTTGAGTTTCCGCCAAAGGAATTCTGAGATGCACGATGTGAGAGAAGCCTGTCATCGAAGGCTTGCCGTTTTGTAGGCCTGGACGGAGTATCGTCGTCGTCACTCCCTGTGAGATCTATGACTTCGGGAGCGGGTCTTTTGCTGCTCGATCGACGATTAGCAGATGACCCTCCCGAAGTCTCGTGTGATAATGGCGTCTGCTGAAGCGCTTTATATTCGAATGGCTGTTCATGCTTGAGATATGGTCTGTCTGACTTTTTAATCTCTATTAGGTCATCGTCGTCTGGACTTGTAGCAACATCATCTGTTCTCGAACGGTCTCCATTCTTGGTGCTGTACCAATTGCCGTTGGGCTCAATAGTGACTTGTTCTACATCGGGAGATGTAGACCGAAGTATCTCATCAACGTACCTACGAAGTTAGCCTGGACCGTGACGCGTTGAAGGGAAGTCGCCTTACTGATCGATTTGCAGAGATTCGAAACTCGTAGCTTTGCTGCACACAGGGCATGTCCAGGTTGGGGCTTGTTCTTGCAATTGAAGAAAGGACGAGGCATCAAAACACTGGTTATGCGTACAGACCACGGATCGACAAGGAACCTCAATCCTAAGAGTCGATAGAGGACATTTCAATGACATAACAGTGGATGTAGCAACGATTTCCGCATCTTCAGCCCTGTTCCTCACTTAAAACTGTCAGTGTCTCTTGGTCTTTGAATGGCAAATCTAGCTAAAGCGTACTTTCTCGTAACACCTGCTCCTTGGAGATGGTCTTTCTTGCTTTTAACTCAGCTACTAACTCGTCAACCGTATGCCGTTGAACGAGATTGACAAGCACAAAGAATTTCTGTCATTCCAGTTAATGATGTCGGCGAACGCTTAATGATATGGCATGGCATATTTGTCACCGGAGACGGAAAAAGTACATACCTTCTGTGTGAGAGCATATGTCATGACAACATTGTTTGGATACCCTGGCTTCTTGCGAATATAATTCGTTATATCCGCTGGCCTCGTGGTGCCGGGCTTATTCTTAAGTCCCCTCAGATTAGCCTTCACCTCGTCAAGATTTGCCTTCAGTTCAACTTGATGAGGAAAGGCGATATCGGATTTGGAAAACTGGTTTAGGCCGTTATCAGCCGCACAGTAAACCATTACACGAAGGTTTGGATCTGACTGAAGTCTCGCGGCAACATTGGCATTAAGAACGACTTTTAACTCCACAGTGTCTCTTGTGTGCTCGCGCACTACTCTATGTCAGTGATGTTCCATCAGATATACGCAGGCACGCACCTTTGCATTCGACTGTCGAAGTGAGAGGTTCTAGAATTGTGTAGAATGGGCTATCTTTGAATGTGAGTCGTCCTGGAATCCAGTAAGCAATTCACCCAGAATAACTGATCATGTTTTTTCGGAATTCATACCCGTCGAAAAAGGCTGAGAGGGCATTGCTGAACCCAAAGATGGTCTGCTCTGCGTAGTCGTAGAGTGTGGAGCAGATTGATGGTGATATTGATGGCTGGAGTATGTTGTTGGAGTATTGGGCATGGAGCGGTTGGTTAAAGAATATATGAACTTTTTAAGACGATCATAGCGATCTACCTGGCCCCCTTGATAGAGTCTCTCGAGATCTGTCTCATTACGAGTCATCTAATTGTCAGCGAGTTCACGTTGAACAATGGAGTGTTCAGGGGAGGGAAAGACACTAGTGCGGTCTTCACGAACAGTCAATGATGCGCAACTGAAGCGAGAGTTTGACCCCCGACACCGTGAGACCCTCGCTCCTCAAAATATCTTTGAGCTGAGCGTTGGTCAACGTCTTCACTAGCGCGATCACGCTCTGGAGCTCGGCGGCCTGCCCTGTAGATGCCATTTCGGAAACGGTCAAGAAACGAAGAGTTCAGATTGCAGAAGCGTGGGCTCTCGTCAAGACAGTAATTCACAACAGTTTCCCTTGTTCCGGTTCGGCATGGCATGGAGATGTTGCACGACTATATTCGCTGAAGAAATCTCAAGACGAAATTTCAAGCCAAATTGCTTCATAATATGCTCCTCCAATGCAGAACAGCGCTGATGAGCGATAGCCCAAATCTGGGGAGGATGATGACATAAGATAATTCGCCGCAACAGTAGTGGGTCCTGCAAGTATCCTTCCCAGCGCTGCTGCCACCACCACCTTTTCTTTGTTCTAGCAGACTGTGCAGTGTACTCCATCCTAGGCAGGGGGAAATCCGAAGACGTATCCAGCACTATATTGTAATTTTACCCGGCCTCTTACTCTCAAAGCTTATAACTCTGAGCCTCCTTCCACCACAACCAAAATGGCCAAAAGTGTTCGGTCTAGCGTGCGGAAGCGCAACAGCACCAAACTTCGCAGCACCGTCTTCGGGCCTGCAGCAGATGCGCGAACAGCAAGACTGTCTGCCAAGTTGCAGGAGTTGGCTTCCCAACCACGGCCAGAGAATAAGAATACGAAGAATGCCAATGTTGAGATGGATACTTCCGGTACAGGTATTTATATGAGATTTCGTCGCGCATCTTTCCTACGGGGGAAGTATCTGATTATATTTCAGAATGCGATACTGCCGTGAATACAAAAGATTCCCACACAGACGGAAGTACGAAGTTTCGCCGCCATTTTCATCTCAATACACTTATCTGTTCTTCCACTGTAATAATCAGCTTGAGATTTTCTAGCTAACAATGTTTTCTGTATAGGTATGGATATAGACAAAGATGCGGCCTCTACTGTCACATCTGTGGCCAAATCCGGCCGATCGAACCGTATTAAAAAGCGTGGGAAGAAGACCCGATCTTCTATTACTTTCCCGCAACTTGCGCGCAGATCGAAAATGGCCACCAGAAAGAAATAAGGCCCGATTCCTGTTTTCGTCAACATCAAATCCGAACTGCTTGTAGGGCACAGGTTGTTCCCGGTTTCTTAATCGAGACGATACATCAATGCCAGACGATACTGTCGGAACGTGGTGGCTAAGTGATGCTGGTTTTGACGCACCATCCTCATCTTTGAAGAGCGTTCAGGCCAAGTCTACTACTAAGTAGAACAGGCCTGGATATGCAAGAATAAGCTTTGGATAGTCGCACAAATGGCGTGAAATCCTCGCAAATCTTATTCTTTTAAGGTACATACGAAAGACGGCTTCACGCGGTGCAAATGCAATAAAAGTTCGTTGCCTGTCGAGATTGCAATTTATTCCAATATCGAGATTGCAATTTATTCCAATATATCGATAGGACCGCCGTGTTGGATATCGGGAATCGGCAGTCGGAGAAACCCAGGCCTGCTCAAATAAATAAGAGCATGGGTTTGAGAAATAGGGAATCTGCAAGAGCAAAGAGGCCAATTATTCCAAGAGATAGGACCTCCTTACTATCCAATTGCTATTCGTTATCTTGTAACTATAGTTGAATCATACTATTCTAGTTGAATTATTCGCCTGGATTTTCCACAGTAGTGCTAGAGGTGGTGCCAGCTGACAGATTGGCTGCGTACAGAGTAGAAATAGATGGAGTCTCCATCCCAGTATTTATTATTTCCCGGGCTTCATCGAAACCTCATTTTCAGTATGTCCAAACAAGGCAGGCGGTGATTGTTTTTCCACGTGCCCCTGGTGATCAGCATCCGCAACATTATTCGGCAGATTCGTTGACCGCCTGGCGAGAGCTCGGTTTCCTTGGCCTCCTTGTTGCCAAAGTTAGCCCGGCCATTGCCTTGCGAACAAAATATGTATTCATACACAAAATGGCCTGCTGTGTCGTTCGTATACTGATGAAATGGCATGACTTCTGAACTGCTGTACTGGCGCAATGACACACACCGCCTCCAAGCTGGCGATTTTCCTCGCCAACGCTTTAATACCCATTGCTCTAGGGGTGTTTTGCTCCGGATATTTCCCATATAAACCAATTCTTTCGGGTATGGCCACTCATGGAGAGTCAAAAGGACCGCCCGCGGTGTTTGACAGAGTCATACTCATGCTGGTTGATTCATTGCGAAGGTTGGTGACAATCATTGCTCATACGTAGACTTCTAACTTCAAGGGCCTGTACTGACGCAAAGGTCAGTGATTTTGTGTATTCAAACAATTCCGGGTTTTTGTATACGCAGAAGTCAGTGCAACCGCTTTCGAAAACACCGATATTTCCCTCCAAAAGCATTGTCTAACTTCAGTAGCTTGATTCGATCCGGCGCCGCATTACCTTTTACCGCTCATGCTAGTTCTCCAACAGTCACCATGCCTCGCGTCAAAGCTATAACAACTGGTTCAGTTCCATCCTTTTCCGATGTGATCCTCAATCTTGCTGAATCGGAGAGCATGTCGGATCTCACTTACCAAGATACTATACTAGCACAATTCAAAGCGAGACTAAAAGGACGGCTTGTTATGTATGGAGATGATACATGGCTGAAACTGTTTCCTCACATGTTTGATAGAGCCGATGGGACTACCAGTTTCTTCGTATCGGTTAGTGGACTAAGCAAGTTGAGAACACGTGTAGTGAAACTAAACATTGTCATACCAGGACTTTGTCGAAGTAGACAACAATGTGACACGCCATATTTCCGAAGAACTCATGAATGACGACTGGTCAGCAATGGTCTTGCATTATCTTGGCCTGGACCATATTGGTCACAAAGCTGGCCCCAAAAGGTACAGCAATATTCAAGGCGTCCATGAGAACTACTTACTAATTCGTTCAAGCTTGCATATGATTCCTAAACAATATGAAATGGACTCCATTGTAAAAGAAATATATACTGCAATGGAACATCAAAAACATCTCCAATCAGCATTGCTTATTCTATGTGGCGACCATGGAATGAATGAGGCTGGAAATCATGGCGGTTCGTCCGCTGGGGAGACTTCGCCTGCCCTGACATTCATTTCTCCCAGGTTAAAAGGAAAGGTGGTCCATAGCAATGATTGCCCTGTGGAAGCATCCGACGAATATCAATATTACCGCACTGTTGAACAGTCTGACATTACGCCAACCTTGGCAGGACTGCTGGGAGTACCCATTCCTCTCAATAACCTAGGCGTGTTTATTCCGGAAATGCTTTCTATATGGGATTCTGGTAAGTGGCTTCAGTGCTCATGCAAGCATGTCGTAAAATGTTTGTGAACTTGATGCTGACTAGCTTCTCCAGACTCAGATAGGCTCAAGATCCTCCTTGAGAATTCAAGGCAGATACTTGAAGTCGTCAAAGCGACCTTCCCGGGACATACGTTCGATCAAAAAGTGTCGTCGGAAAAATGCAGAAATAACATTCAATCTGATATCGAACAACTCGAGTGTGCTTGGTTCAGCATACTTGATCTTTTGCAAAATGCTGATACCGTCAGAGACTCGTACTCTGAGATCGAGTCTGCACTCTTACAATTCCTGCGTGAAGCTCAGAAGATCATGAGTGGCACTGCCAGTAATTATAAGATTCTCAGGCTCTATCTGGGTTCGTTAACATCCGGTATTGCTCTGTTGATTTCTCTTCTAGCGGCTTACAAGCCCTTGCGAAATTCTGGGTTTTCCGGAATGTTCTTGATGGTCGCTGTGATTGGTAATGGCAGCATGATGTTCGCAAGTAGCTATGTGGAAGAGGAACAACAGTTCTGGTATTGGATTACAACGGCCTGGACAATCTATCTCTACACTAAATCGTAAGCATTCAAGCCATGAATTCTAGGTGCATGCTGACCTTGTTTTTTAGGGCCCGAATGAATCATGCATCTATCGCGGCGGCATCGACAACCGCTGGCGCACTCACATTGGCAATAATCAACAGAATTATAAGACGCTGGAATCAGACAGGCCAAAAGTTTGCAGGCGAACCCGATATAGCTCAAGGCTTCCTCCCTTCTCAGCAGAAGCTGCTATGGACATTAATTCTGCTGGCGTATCTTGACATCTGCCGGAATATGATTCGATTGTCACCATTCCATGATTTCTGTCGGATGGTGATGTGGAGCTCGCTATCTGTCATAGTATCAAGCTTGGCTTTTGCCTTTAAACTAGCCTTCACAGCAGCTGATTCCCCCGAGCTTCTCGAACCGTGGATGTTGGATATCGTAGAGAGGACTTGGGGCGCCCTTTCACTTGTCATACAAGCAAGAGTTGTTTTTCTCGGAACTTTCTTCCTCGTGGTGATTTCCTTATATACCAATATAACAACAACAGGGGTGGTGTCGAAAAAGAAAGGTACGGGAAAATCCAGTTGGACGAATATATGAAGAGAAATTGACGATTATTTCCGGACAGTGCCGTACAACAGGCTTTTTCACGAAGCTTTGACATTGTTTCTTATTACACAGTCAAAGTCGACCAATATTCCGCTATTCCTGCTTTTCAGGGCACAGACATCGATCCTTGCTTCGATGCGTTTGAGTTGCATCGAAACCACCGTCACTTCGATCTTCGCCCAGTATATGGCCTTTTTTGCGTTTGGTGGATCAAACGCCATTTCTTCGATAGACCTGTCAAGCGCCTATAACGGCGTCAGCAGTTACAACGTCTTTCTTGTCGGCCTTCTCACCTTCTTGAGCAATTGGGCCGGTCCTATTTGGTGGGTATCTGCGACTCGTCTCGTTCAATCATCTTGGACATGGAAAGACGCAGCAAATCATGTGGTCCTTTTAACAGTCCATGTCACCTTCGGTCTTTTGTCAATTATGGCTGCTTGCACACTGTTGAGAACGCATCTTTTCGTGTGGACAGTATTCTCACCTAAACTTCTTTATAGCATGGCATGGGCTTTATTACATCACATCGTGGTCAATGTTTTAGTTGTATATAATCTGTCATGGTTCTTCTAGACCACCATCGTTTGAACAGAGTCGTCGATAGATCACCGAGCTCTTGCAATATTCTGAACTGAGTGCGAGGATCCTAGACAGCCTCATTTACCATGACGTAGTTTCTTGCAGCTCGTGATGCTAGGCAAGAGTATTGAAAATATCGTCGATCACATTCGTCCTACGTCGTCTTTTCTTCGCGCTCTTCTTTGAGGTGGTTGGTATGACTTCGTCTGAAACGGTAAATTCAAGCGAATTTTCTTGGCTGTCGCTTGCTCTCTGTGACTTGAGATTTGAAGGAAACTCTGATTTTTCACCTTCACGGCGAACAGGCTCCCCGATATCAACTCGGTTGTCGCTGTGGGTTTCGATTTTCCTCTCAGCCAAAGAGTTTGAAGGTTCCTTAAAACCTATCGCCCTTGTAAGGCGGGCCAAAGCTGCTAACAGTACAGTTCCAAGTGTCGAAAATTGGCCATCTGCAACAACTGTGGAAAATGCACTAATATATAATCATCTCAGCTTGATGTTACAGATAAACAAGCACGCAAGGAGAAACAGCTAGGCAGGAATAATAGTAAGATCCGCATCGACACCTACTAGTAACATCTCGGAATGAGATAAGTATGCATATAACCCACCAAGCTTGTTTTCTCCTTCTCCCCAGGTTCAGCTAACAATTTCAAAATCGAGCGTCGTAGCATAGAAAACCATTTCCACCACTTTGATTTCCCATGCTGGTTTTTGTTGCGATGAAAGATCAGGTGTACCATGGAATACACATCCCGAATCTGAGAAGAGTCCATTCCGAAATTATATGGAGATATATTCATGCGGACATATCGACTATCTAACGAGCGCGACCTGCAGGAAGTACGGAGTATCAAGAGGCTGCACCTATTGTGGCTTAGCCTTTGGTGGCAACGAAGGCTAAGTTAGGTTTTCTCTCATTATTAATAATAAATAATATTTAACGGTAATCAATCACCGAGCGAAACAGATCACCGAGCGAAACACCCCACCAAACTACGCGACGCGCTCATCAACTTCAACCACCAAAATGCCACGCAAAACAGCAGATTCAGCAGTTCATCAAGAGGGCCGTATCTTGCTTGCAATTAAAGCTTTCAATGATGGTCAATTTAAAAGCATACGGGCTGCTGCACAGGCATATAATGTGCCACATCCAACACTCTACCACCGCCTACGCGGGCGTACTGCACGCGTAGATGCAACACCAAACAGCAAAAAGCTCACTACCACTGAAGAATCTATGCTTGTCAAATGGATATTATCT